TGCCCTAGAAATAATTTTTGGTAGGTGGAAAATGAAAAATGTCTACTTTTCATAAATTTAAGGAGAAATGTTCAAAATAGTGTGCCAAAAAAGTCTAAGTTGCCCTAGAAATTATGCCATTATTGGGCAAATCCAAGTATCATCTATGATATTAGGTAGGACACTATCATGCGATCGAGATTTTAGATATTGTGGAGTCAGATGTTGTGCACGTAGTACAAGATCACATAACTTGGTTTGTGTGACAAGTTGTTAGTTCTACAAATCATAAAGAATATCCGTCCTCTTTGTACAATAAAATGCACTCTCTCGTCCAACTATAGCATTCTTTGTCTTGCACTTTTGCTGAAAAAGCCTCGTTAATAATATGAGTCAAAAATTGTAGCAATAATTCAATATTAGACAACATGATTTTCTTGGAACATTGCATTGCTATCAAGGAGTTGTTACTAGAAAAATATTGAAATTTATCCATGCACATTTTGTTTTAAAGTCGTCACTCATTTTTTAACAAATTAGGTGATGCCACTTTATAAATTGATAAAATCCCGCAGTATAATGGATTATGAATGGTGAACTTTAAAGTATTTGTTTAAATTGCTTTGTTTGGCTAAATCAAATCTCTCTATTTACAGCAAACAAAAAATTCTTGAAGTGACTACCCGACAAAATTGTTGGAATCGTTTGTCATCTCCATCGAGGGAATGCAATAGCAAAATTTTGATGATAGTTGCATTCCACGTATCGGCATGTCACTTTAATTTCGATGCTTGCAAACAATCAACTTTCGAAGCAATAGATAAACTAAAAACTAACTTCATTTAAATGAAGTTGTTTTTGATGAAGGAGTAGTTCGAACTTAACATCATATTTGGACATAATTGAAGTCTTGACGAGTCAAAAAGCTTTATAGTTCTTTAAACTAGTCTATTTTAATCTCCGAACTTGCAGACCAATTGTTCAAGTATTGGTTCCAAAAGATCAATCAAAAGTTATTGTTAGACAACTTAATTGGTGTTCTCCATCTTAGGAAGGAAATTCGTCAGTACAGTGTCACAAATCACTATATTCGAAATGTCAAAAAAATTTATTTTTGCATGAGCGCTACTGATGAGAATATGAATCCTCATTCAAAATCATCGAATATGTATAACATGTAAGTATTATGCCCTAGGTCCAATCAACTTTGGACATAAATACTTTTATATGTAACTAATGCAATTAAATGGTAGATCTATTATTTAATTAATAGACAATTAAATAAATAATATAGTCCGTAGATTCAAATATTTGTAATTTGTTAATCACAATGAGTTGTGATTGTGAGATACAAATTACATCTGATTGAATCTTANAGTCCTGCTAGTTGGTTGACAGTCACCTGAGTCACTCTTGATCCAACAGAATTTGACGTATTTCCAGGCTTGTCGAGACCCGAAAAGTAGAAATCGTCGGCCGTGACCATCTTTGGGTCCTTGCAAATCTTTCCATTTACAAAAACTGCATAACGCGAAGTCATATATAATATGAGTTATATGAGTATTGTAAAAAATTATCAATTAAAGAAGCCTGAAATAGGCATTTACCGGCAGCATTGGAATCATTGACTGCAACACAGAAATCCTGTAGAGGGCTTGGATCGGAGGCATAGACTAACGAAGAAGCCAAACCCACAAGGGTAACGGCCAAAAGGAGGCAAATGGAATACTTCATCGCTTAATTTGGATAAAGAAATATTCAAATAAGTGAAATCTTGATGAAATTAAAGACTAATTTTGCCTGTTGGATTATTGCTTTGATTAGAAACTGCAGATTTTGATTGGGAAAAGAAGCCTATATATAGTTTAGTATCTTTGATTTTGTCATTAAGTTAATCATGTTAAAGCAGGTAGTTAAGCAATTTTATATTCAAGAATGAACCATTCTTAATTATACTGCTTCTTTTTCTTTGGAAGAAGTCTTTTTTTCTCTATCTGATGCTGGGTCTTACACTCCATTAGTTAGTTAACCATATTTGTTATTTCCTAATTTCTTTAATGGAAAGTTTCAAGCATACGTAAATAGGCTAAAAATGACGTATTCAATGAAATTCATATGGACTATTTACTGGTCGTGGCATGAGCGATGAAAAATGCATATTTTGTGAATATATTTTTCAGTTTAATTTGAACGGAAGTTGATGGAAATAATTTTTGGTAGTTGAAAAATGAAAAATGTCTACTTTTCATAAATTTAAGAGTGCAAAAAAAGTCCAAGTTACCCTAGAAATAATTTTTGGAAGGTGGAAAATGAAAAATGTCTACTTTTCATAAATTTAAAGAGAAATATCTTCAAAATGGTGTGCAAAAGAAGTCTAAGTTGCCCTAGAAATGATAACATTAGTGGGCGAATCCAAGTATCACCTATGATATTAGATAGGACACTATCATGCGATCGAGATTTTAGATATTGTGGAGTCAGATGTAGTGCATGTAGTACAAGGTCACATAACTTGTTTTGTGTGACAAGTTGTCAGTTCTGCAAATCGTAAAGAATATCCATCCTCTTTGCACAATAAAATGCACTCTCTCGTCCAACTATAGCATTCTTTGTCTTGCACGTTTGCTGAAAAAGACTCATTAATAATATGAGTCAAAAATTTATTAATGAGTCAAAAATTGTAGCAATAATTCAATATTAGACAACATGATTTTCTTGGAACATAGCATTGCTATCAAGGAGTTGATACTAGAAAAATATTGAAATTTATCTATGCACATTTTGTTTTAAAGTCGTCACTCATTTTTTTAGCAAATTAGGTGATGGGACTTTATAAATGGATAAAATCCGGCAGTATAATGGATTATGAATGGTGAACTTTAAAAAGTTTGTTTAAATTGCTTTGTTTGGCGAAATCAAATCTCTCTATTTGTAGCAAAAAAAAAAATTCTTGAATTGAGTACCCAACAAAATTGTTGGAATCGTTTAGTATGTTATCTCCGTCGAGGGAATGCAATAGCAAAATTTTGATGATAGTTGCATTTCATGTGTAGGCATGTCACTTTCATTTCGATGCTTGCAAACAATCAACTTTCGAAGCAATAGATAAACTAAAAACTAACTTCATTTAAATGAAGTCGTTTTCAATGAATGAGTAATTCAAATTTAACATTATATTTTGGACATAATTGAAGTCTCGACGAGTCAAAAAAACTTTATAGTTCTTTAACTAGTCTATTTTAATCTCCAAAATTGCAGAAACCAATTGTTCAAAATTGGTTCCAAAAGACCAATGCAAAAGTTATTGTTAGACAGCTTAATTGGTGTTCTCCATCTTAGGAAGGAAATTCGTCAGTACAATGTCGCAAATCGCTATATTCAAAATGTCATAAAAATTTATTTTTGCATGAGTGCTATTGATGAGAATATGAATTCTCATTCGAAATCATCAAATATATGTAGCATTCCTTGGTAATTAGAAACAGAATGGTACATGTCTGTGTAATCAAAATAGTGACATCATGCTAATGTGGAATCAAACTCAAACTCAAAATATGAATAGTATATATATATATATATATAAATCTCGAGTTCAAGGGTGATTGTTGTAAATTAAATTCTATTTGTGAATAAAAATTGCATTCATGCAGTTCTAAGTGAATCTTATAAATATAGAGCTTTCATTCTCAATAAAATACACAAGAGTTTTGATTATCTCTATTCTCTTAATTTTTGTTCTCTACTTATATTTTACATTTTTTGAGCGGAGATAAATTCACTCCACACACCTCTCCCCCCTCCCCACACAATTAACTTTTAAGCATTTCTATTTTTAATTTTTTTTATTGGAATATGGTTGAAAAGATTTTCTTTTAATTATTACATGAGAAAATAGCTTTAACTTGTAAAAGAACCACTTTTGTGAATTTTTTGGATCGCTATCCGGATTTCGACCTTAGTAGAGAAAAGTTTCAATTTTTTTTTTTTTTTTTTTTTTTTTTTGGATATTTTCATTTTTCTCAACTAGAAGTAAAAAAAAAAAAAATTTTTAATTTTTTAATTTTATTATTTACCGAAGGTGTGTTACCTGGTCTACCATGAGTAATAAGGTCCATAATTTGTTTTTATTTTTATTTTTGCCACTAAGCAACTATTATCTTTTGAGTTTTGAATATTCTTGTATCAAAAAAGGTCCTGGACACACACACACATAAATAAAAAAAAAGGAATTTTCATGAAAATTAAATAAAAAGAAATTCTATCTTTGTCGAACGACGTTTCTCACGATCTCTAGTCAACAACATAAAAAGTGTGAAAGGAGACTAATTTCACTATATGTTTATATAACATTATGCTTTGACTAATTTGATCTTGATCCTCTAATTTAAGTTGAGCACCATGTAATCAACCGTTTTGCAAGAAATTTATGTTAACTTCGTATTCAATTATCTTGTCATATCAATTGAGAAGGTTCATGCTCTTATATTTTATAAAGGGCCCCTTAAAAAGCGATACCAGAATGAGAAAAAGGAAAAAATGTAAATATAGGATCTGTTGCCATTTTTGCTAATTTCCACTAAAATAAGAAAAGATCACAAAAATATTGAACTTTTGGCCAATAAAATGTTATCAAACAAAGTTATTTCTAATTCATCATAGCCCCCATCAATTTATTCCAAGTTAGCTCACAACGATTAATTAAATTCCAAATATTTCAACATGACATACAGCAACCCATAAACATATCTTCCACCATACAATTTGTGTAAACTGACAAAATTATGAAGCCATTATATAAATACTATATCACCACTTAGTCTTGATAAAGATTGTTAGAGCATACATGTGCACTTTATTACATGGAAATGTTATGAGTACATAATAGTATACACATAGCATTACACCCCCTCCATATGGAAGGGGGCCCACACACAATAAAATATTCGTGGACCCTCTCCATGTAAGGGGTGTAATGCATTATATACATCATGAAGTATACACATAGCATTTCCCTTATTACATTGGGACCCCAAATAAATATACTCTGGTTACTACTAATTGATTCCATCTTTTCCCTTCCTAGAACTGTGATTGAAGATATTTAATCACATTCTTATCAACCTGGAATGCCTTTGTAAGAACATCACGAGAAGTAGGAGGATTTGATCCAAAAATAACATTTGCAATGGTTATGACTCCAGGATTTTGACTGCTTAGACCCGCAAATGCAACGCCTTCTTCTTCCTAACATTGAACTGAAAATGAATGAGGCCTTCAGGGAAGACAAAAACATCTCCTAGATACAGTATTTTGGTAAAGAGCTTATTCTTCACGTTTGGATTTGCAGGACTGGAAGTCACGAACCCGACATAGAGAGAGCCTTCGACTACGACAAGGACCTCGGTTGCACGAGAGTGCGTGTGGGGCGGGTTTAGGCCATGCGGTGCATAGTCTATGTGGACTAAAGAAATGCCAAGGGTATTAAGCCCTGCTAGGTGGTTGACAGTTACCTGAGTCACTCTTGATCCAACTGAATTTGACGGATTTCCAGGCTTGTTGAAACCTTAGAAGTAGAAATTATCGGTTGTGACCTTCTTTGGGTCCTTGCAAATCTTTCCATTTACAAAAACTGTATAAAGCGAAGTCATATATAATATGTGTTATATGAATATTGTAAATTAGCAATTAAAGAAGTTTGAAATGGGTATTTACCAGCAGCATTGGAATCATTGACTGCAACACAGAAATCCTAAAGAGGGCTTGGATCAGAGGCATATATTAACAATGGTGGCCTTGAATATAAGCGAAATGGGCAATCGTCTAAGGCACCATTTTGGTGAGAGCCCCAAATTATGTAAAGTTAATTGATTGGTTGAAGAAAAATGAAAATTATATTTATGAAATTTTGAAAATAGAATAATCGTATACAAATATAAGAAACTAATAAAAATTGAAAATAAAAAAATATTTAATATATATATGGCAACAAACTTATCGCCTACATTTATTTATCACAAACATTACTTTTCCTATTTATAATTAAGTTGACACTTTATCTTCCAAACATTCATTTTCTTTTTTTAACCAAACAAAAGGTCTTTTCGTCTTTTCAAATTCCATGTCCAACAATCATCCATCATTATTTTTTCAACCCAACAAGATATAAATTATTTCACTTTGAATTAAAATTTTGAAGATTCAATGTAATTTGATTTGATCTCGCTGTAATTATTATAATCTTACAGGTTTCTTTCTTTCTTTCTTATCGTCAAAACATATACTACAGGGTATATATGTTGTTATTATATTGTTTTGTTTTAACCTCATGATAATAATATATTTAGATATTTGTTGACAGTACTTTGAATTTAATAATTCTTTGTTGTTCATTCAGATACTTTTTATTTTAAATTAATTTCTTATAAATTAATATAAAATTAGAAACTCGTTTATATTTGATCATCATTTTCATTATTTTGTTACACTATCTTTTGCAGTCACATTTTCCAATTTTGTACATTAATTACTCAAATATATATTCAATTTTATTTGAAATAGTTGTTGTGAGAAAATAATCATATAAACCAGCATACCCCTTTGTCCATTGCATTGTAATTCAGTTTGCCAAGTTTTACTTATAATTTGTATTGCTGGTTGAAATGTGACATTTGTTTATTTTCTTTTTAAATTTCGGGGCTTAGTTGTATGTGTTAGATTCTTTATAATTATATTAAGCCCCTGTTTGCCATCAATTAAAATCTAGATTTTAATTTAAGTCAAAATTGACAATTAATTTTAATCACATATTTTATAGGTTCCAAAGCTTTAAATACACATATTTCA